ACCGAGGGCAAGTCTCAACCTGAAGACAGGTCTGGGTCTTGTGCATCTGCATTAAGTGATGCAGAGTAATTCTTGCCTAAGCGCTGTTTCCCCAAAGCTTTATTAGTCCCTGTAAAGCTACTCTGGATCACTCCATCCCTGCAGCACTGCCTAAGTACGAATCACGTGCTCAGCAATCACAGTAGATATCCCATGTTCTGCTCTACACATTCTGGGTTTCTTCTCACTACGCACCACGGGATACCAACCAGCAAGCCTCTACCCATTTCTCGTAGTTCCTTCTTTTTCATGTTATCCCCGTTTCTCTGACTGCAGCTGTTTTAACAGCAATATAAAGGAAAACCAAGGAATTATGGCCCAGTACCGTAATTCTCATAGTGCATACATCTTTCCTCCTCCAGTATCTCTAGAAGCCAAGCAGCAGAGGCATCTTGGGCAGAAAAAAACAGCGTAAAATTGTGCACAAGAGCTTCTTTGCCTTCAGCTTAATTAGCACAGACAAGTGGATGGGATATCGCTGTAGCCCTAGGATAATAAGCAGCGGCAGCAGAAACACAAGCTATCAAAGACTACACAGACCCCCACACGACAAACCCTTCTGCGGAGGAGCACCTCGACTTGGCCAGCTAGCAGCTTACTGCCACCAGTTAGCCATCAGTCAGCCTAATGCTAACGTTCTTATTTATTTCTTGCACTAGTGGAGCATAACCACAGGCAATGCTTCCCCTGATTTTTGCAGGGCAGCAATTCTGTCATGAGATTACACAGACTGGACTTTTATTAATTGCAAGATTTATGGCAGGTCTTCAAAAATCAACCAAGAAATACACTAACAAAAGCTACAGCAAAGGCAGCCGGAACATCCGCATTCTATTTCACAACCGCTGTTTGGAAAAGCTGCACAGAGAGGTAATTTGGGAAGGTTTCTGTAATCTGAAGAGAAGCCTACAACCTGTAAGGTCACACAATGACTGCAAAGCAGCACCGAAAAACCATCAGAAGCGACTGCTGTCACAAAGCCTGGGTTTACTGCAAACTGAAGGCAAGATCCAACGGCAGGACCACCATTTCCATTAAGAAATTAGATTTGAAGATTATCCTGGTAAAAGTCTTGAACTACATGAACAAGTTTGCAGAAACTTGTCAACTTGCCCGGTTACTTTGTAGTCCTTAGTCCTGTAGCTGATAAGGACAGGATACATTTCCCTGGTTTTCATTCAACTGATTCTTTCTTTTTGGTGCACCTGGCCTATCCAGAAGCCATATGTCAAATCCGGTCCATTCTCCACCTTAATAGTATTCAGCATACCATTCCCTGGTTTCCCTGCATTCGCTACATAGTTATCACCCATTCAAACGAAATGCATAATACACGCCCACCACCCTTCACCATATCCATCATTTGTTGCTCTTTTCTGCTACCCTGTATTGGGAACCCCTCCTTGCTCCTCGTGGCACCGATTTCCCAGAATCTCTTTTACATTGCCTAGGCTGTGCAGAACAGAGGAGTCAGGAGAAGAATTGTCATTTATAAACCTCTCCACTGATACCACAACTACATCACCTACGGAAGTCTTACACAACGGATTTCCTTTCCGTAGAGGCATCCAATGAAGACTCAAAAACCAGCATTACTGTCTGCTTGTCAGTGATATGGGAGGAATCGTGAAGCAATATAGGCAGTGTTTAAAGAAAATCCCACTCGAGTTCTGTACACTTCGGTTTCAGGGGCATTTCCAGTTCCAGTTTCAAAGGTTACTACCCTGCTCGACCAGTCACTCCTGGAAACGGTGCTCCACCCAAAAAAGCCATTCCAGTTAAATGCTTTAAGTTGTTGCTTTATTTCGTGTTCCTGGTCCTTGTAGCCCTCCTCCCCCCTTAGCATTATTGCTGTGGCAACAAAAGCCCTATAAAACAGAGCCAAGTCCACCCACACATGCGTTACCCTGTTCATAGAAACAGGTCTTCCTTTCTGCGACTGAAACTCTCTGCCCAAAAGTAACTAAAATGGTGCTGGCAATAGTCTAAGGATGCCACCGCTTCTCCTCCTCCCTGTCACTTCACCCTCCCTCTCATGGCTCCCAGAAGCTACAAAACGCCCCCTCCCTGCACCATATATTTTGGCAAATTCTTAACGTATATAGCAGTACACTGAAAGTGCTGTGCTGGTTATATGTGGAGAGATGCACATGCAGTTTAAAATATCCTATGTACCTCAGCGCCTCGCAGTTGACCTCCACATGCACCGTGTTTTCTTGTCTTGTTCTTTTAGATACCTTGGAACTGCACAGTAAACTCTTCCGCACAAAAAAAAAGTCCCTTTTTTGATATGGATGCAGTCCAGAATGACAAAATAAAGAGGACATACGGGGATGGGGAAAACCACAAATACTCTTTAAAGACATTCCGTCTGGCCTGGGACTTTTACCCACAATAAATGGTTAAGCCTGACAAGCACAGATGCCATTACTACCAAGCTAACCATTATAGCAGCTGTAATAGTCATATGCACAAGTCTGATACTGCTAAATTTTTGTAAGCAAACTAAACTATCTCATTGCTCCTCCTCATCTACTGGAGTTTAAAGGACAGCCAAAGCGTGTTCCTCGCCTTCAGCATGTGCTCACACGTACCCCAGCACATGCCAGTGGTCAGTCCTCAGCCCACTGTGGGAAGCGCTGTCAAGGGCAGGGTCTCTGGCTGCAGGTGACTGCGTGCAGCTCTGTTGCCTACAGCAGAAGCAGACATGCCTCAAACGAAGGCAGATCTTAAAACAGATTTCAAAACCTAAAACCTCATTTTTTGAGCAGCTATTGAATTCTCTTGACATGTGGTAGGAGTTTTTTCCTCTGTGTATTTCTTACATTGAATTTAATAAGTAACACAAAAAAAAGAATAAGAGATGGCATCCTTTTGCTGTTAAAGAGATAAAAATAAACTTTAGCGTCTAACCTACCCCCTAGAAATTAGACGATGGCATCCAAGTATTGCTTGGATATGACAACTGCATCAAAAGTTTCCACCCATCTAATAAACTTCATTTCCACTGCGGGAGATTTTCAGTCCGATGACCTGGTGTAGTAAGCCACTTCCATCTATTTCTTATAAATCAAATTTTACCTCCGATTGCCCAGTTAAATCTCTGCTCTCCCCATAGCCACACATTTCTGCTTAAACAACTGGATGATGAAACAATAGATATTGGTGGGCTACATGATGTTAGACAGGTGTTGTACGTCATGCCAACCATTTATGTACCTGGCCTTAACTTGCAAAAATAATTTTCACTTAGGCTTAAATATAAATTCAGTCAAACAGAGGAAAAGGATAAAATAATTTGCTGCATGCATACACTAGCTTGTTCCATTTTCTAACTCCCAAACACTTGGCAAGGGTGATTTACTTTTTAGTATTTAGAACTGTATACACTAGGATGGGTTTTTTTGTTGTTAGACTTTTAGTGAAACTTTCACCGATACCAATGAGCCAACAACAATTTCCCTTTGGCAATGCACAGTGAAATGCTACTTGCAACTGTAGTGGCATAATCCAAGTTGAAGTTCCTCCCTCTCTTTTGGATCTTCCCTCCCCCCAGGTCAAATCCTGAGAACAACCCACAGCAGACATGACGAGACATATACAGTGCATTGCTGAAACTCTGAATCACAGCCTTGCCATTGAATCTACACCTCTATTACATTCAGAAGGTCTCACGTTTAAAAGAAAAACAAACAGAAAGGATACAATTTCATGTTTCTCAGAGTAATAGCTTTTTTCCTCCCATATCCGCTAAAGCAAACAAAAAATCTTGAAAATTCTCTGTACTTCAGTTCAGAAAACAGAAAATACAACCTTTCACTTGTGATAGTACAAAGCAGGATAACAAAACGAAAAAATTGAAATTGCACTGTAAAAGCATTTTTCTACTGGAGCTCTATTGTACACAACGGCTTAGCGACCCTCGCGCAGGTATAGCATTTTTCTACTGGAGCTCTACTGTACACAGGCAGATGTACACAACGGCTTAGCGACCCTCGCGCAGGTACTTTCATTGACTTTAACGGACAGGTATCAGGTATGACGAGTAAAAGCAGCAGGAACTAAAGGAGTGATGTAATTACAAATACGTACAGCTGGCTAGAAACATTCTGAATATAATTAAGCTTTGAGACATTATGCCAGCCAAGATGTTAATAACCGTCAAAAGACCTGTGGGTGATTTTCATACTTATCAAAATAAGGAACTGTTGAGAACCATTAATAATGTGGGTAAATGCTGTCTAAGCTTCCCACACTCAACTCTGCCAATAAGCTTTAATTTTCAACTGCAACAATCCTGCTATTCCAGTCTGGAGCTCCTCCAGAGCAGAGATATTTAATCAAGTTACATTGTGAACTTGCTCTGCAACACATTAAACATAAAAAGATCAATATGTAACACCAATTTTTGTCTGTCAGGCTTGCCTGGACCAAGATTTTCAATGGCTTAAGATGAAGCCACATTAAACCTTCGCATAAAGGATACTTGTAAAGCAGAAATTAACAGTTTCACATTCAAGCATCGAGTGAGAGCGTAAAAGGAGGCTTGAGAAGCTGTGCTGTAATAATATTTGCTGTGAACCGTGGGAGACCCTATACTTGTGAAAGAGCTGAAACGGTTTTTATTCCTTATTCTTGAAACGCTTCACAGACCCAAAGGATTTAAGAAACCTAGAGACAAGCGTCTTCTGCCACCAAACTGCCCTAAGAGCCTATCTGCATCTCTTAAAGGTTGCTGGTATGGTGCAATTACAAGTAACACTTCCTCCCTTAAATAACATACTGTTAACAGCAGATACATGAACATGCGGTTTGTTTTCTTATTTAAGTAAAAAAGAAAAAAAATCCTGCAACTGTTGTCTCATTTGAGACATTGGCTATTCGAAGCATTTATCATCAATGAATCCTGCAAACTTCAATATATTTATCCAACAGATTCACATCAAGAGTGTTTCACTGACCTTCAAAGTCCACATCCCCAACTAATTTGGTCTTTCCTGTAAGAGGATCGTGGATATGGTTGATGCCTACATCAATCACAGCTGCCCCTTCTTTGACCATATCGGCTGTAATCAACTTTGGGATACCTGGAATCATCAAGACATATTTGATTAACATGGCCAGGTAGTCTTAGGTCATCAGTTTCAAATCATATCGGGGGTGTGCATGCATGTGTATGTATGCACAAAGAAGATGGCAATTCTTTCGCTTGAATTTTTCTTGATACATCACATAGAGAAAACGGTTATTCCTCGGTTCACATGGTTTATAATTACGAGAATAAAAGGTGATATTTCTTCATTTTGACTAAATATTTTCAGCTAAACCTGCGGTCAGAGACTTAGTCAACATGATTTCAAGGAAGGAAGTACTTGCTGGTTTGTGGCATTAAGTCCCTTTAATAGCATTTCTAGAGAAAAGCTGGATGATAAAGATGCTCTGCGAGCCACTAGGAACCATTAGTGTTGTCAGAGGTCTGCTGGTGCAGAAGCGCTGCCAACTGCTGAAGCAAGCCATCTACGTTACCTCCACAGCATTTTCTTTCATCTTTGCTTTTTAGTATCTGTATTGGGTTTGTGTTACTCTTGACTTCTCTGATTTCTCGTGTACTTAATTTGTTAGCTGCATGGCATTTCAAGCAGGTTCTTCAATAATGAACATGAACTACATCAAATAATACTGCTACAAAAAAAAAAAAAAAGAAATGCTAGCATGGTGAGATAATCTGATCTATGCTGCCACCTTATTTTTGACTCCTGTCATTTACAAGCAATGCATAGACAAGAACAAATAAACCAGCCAGCTCAGATCTACCCATAGTAAACAGCATCAGCTCAGTCTTTAGGAGAGAAGTAACTGCTTTTCAAGTAAAACTTTCTCCACCTGATCTTCTCCTAAGTGAGCAAGAACAACATACTGGATGGAAAACCAGTTGGGTAATTGTACCCAGGTAAGAGGCTCCAATGGTACTTCATGAAAATGGAAGCATGTGCGGAGGGATTACCAGAAGGGCCAGGTGTTTGTTTATAATGCCACTAGCACAACAGTAGAGAACACTTACTATTTAGTAGTGTCACAAGGTGTAGATGACACAAAACTACAAAGAACTTTATAAACAGATTAGCTTAGATTTCAAGTGCCACTGGAAAAAAAGAGCAAGGCATCAAAAAACATTTGACGACCAACAGGAAGGAGAGACACCACATTTACATAGAAATAATTACCCCTCACAAAGGCAAAAAAGCAAATAACTGGTTAGGCAGTTATTTTTCAGAGAAAGAATTTGAGATTAATTCAACCGAACACAGACAGACACAATTATGCTACTGCAAGACACACATAAAAACCCTAATCTCTTCAACATATGACATCAGCTGGGATACCGTATTCTCTCTGTGGGTGCTAGACTTCTCTGATCTGTCTGTTCACATCTCTATAAAACCCGAGAACAATGAGGACGATGAAGAAACCACAAAGAATTAATCTTTTAGATCTCATGACCGCCTTCAAGGATATTAACAACTTTTGGCACAAGAAGAGGAACTAAGCTTTTTGCCACATCCATAACCAACGTGACACAAAATAATAGAATTAAGTGTGTCCCCTTGCTGCACCGTCCAGAACTTTTTAACCACAAGAACAAATGAACGTCGAAGCAAGTAGTCCGAGGAGAGAATAAGAAGGTATCTATCCTCAGAGATCTGACAAAGACGATGGAAACAGCATGCACAAAACAGCACTTTTGGTGCGCTATAGTATGGACTAGATGGGCTTCCAAAAGACCATGCTCACCCTGCTTTTTTTACCCTTTCCACGTAGGCATAGCAAAGGGGAACCAGGAACACCTTCCACATTCAAATATTAGTGACACACAGAAGACACCTTTCTGTCTCTTGCACTGCTTAGATCATGAAGTCATTGACACTTGGCAAACACATTCACCAAAATTTGTTCAAGGGCAACCTGAGACTGAATCTGGGACAGCTGGGGCTTCCCTATGTCGGTTTCTACTACTGCTACAGAAAAGAGCAAAACAAACACGCACACCAGAAGTCGGGCAATGGGATTGGCTTTAGTTTGAGAAACATACTCAAAAAATGAGTTATTGTAACTGTGTTACCAGTAACCCCAGTGCATGACAGTGACCTTTCACTGGGAAGCTTCTAAAAACACCGTGTCCTGCTCTTTATAGCAAACGAGGAGACTGCCCCACTTGACCAGAGAGGGCCTGGCCTCAGGACTACCTTCACCATCTCTCAGCAGGCTACATCTGTGTGGCATCCCGGGACAGGATTTTTTTGCTATTAAGAAACTTCAGCAAAAACAGAGCACTGCAACTAAGTGCCTCAGCTCTTTCATATGCACCATATTTCTTCAGCACATTTAAATGTAAAACATGTTGATATTCATCATTAACATGTTCGACAGTCAGGACCCAGAAAACCTAAAACGTCCAGATAAAGAGCTGAGTCAATGGCTATATGTTTCCAGTTAGTGCAGTTGAACTATCCATTTACATAGCAACAGATACCAAAGCAGTTATTTAGGTATTGAAATAAGCCAAGTACAAAAATGACAACATACAAAACCCAACCTGAGTCCTACTGAAGGTGGTGGCAAAACACCATTTTCTAAGGGAGTAGTCTCGGACAGTAAATGTCTTCCACCTTGCAAAGATGACTGCCGCATGGGATTTCAAGTTGCGGGTAGCACCACGCGTTTACTTCGAAGAGATCGATCTCGTCTAGATTCCCCTACGTACCAAAGCTAGAGCAAAGACTTCTACGGCATGCCAACAGCTCCACTGGATGCACAGAAAAGACCTCCCTTTCAAGAACAGGAGTTCAGTAGGATCCCTCTTTGCAGACAGCCATTTTAATTACAGGAAAGGCTATTTTACAGCAAACATACTAGCATGGCTTTACAAACAACAGCACCGTGTGTGACCAGACAGCTGAAAGTTTATGCCTGGACAGTCACAGCAAATGAAGCGCCTCCTGGAATGGTAAAACAAAGCAATATCTGAGACCAAAGTCACAGCATGCTCTAAAAGAGCCAAGAATATCAAGTCCTTACACATCATCTGCATTAGCCTATCGTACCTTAATTGCAACGGCGGCAACCTTTTCTTTGTAATCACTTTAAATGACCTCCTAAATTCCTTTCCTACCATGCAACTTCCAACTCTGAGTGACGGCAAATGCCAGCTTTAGAATTAAAATTCACCTTGCTGCTTGAGCAATTCCATCCGTTCTATGTTCTGTGAGGAATGTTCATCCTCTTAATAGAGTATCTCCAAAGGGGGAGTCTAATCTCCCCTCTCCCCACCCAAGCAGCTTTGTCTCAAAGGGAGAGAAGAAAAAAAAAAGGTAAAGAAAGCAAATCCATATGGTTTAAGACTGTTGTTTTACTGGAGGCAAGCACTGGTACGCAAGGGCTTGGGCCTCATGTAAGGCGCTGGATCATATCCAGTTTGTCATTTAGATACAGGCAACACAAGAACCTTCTTTGCTCTCCACTTCTCACTCCCCCATGGGACACAAGCCTGAAACTCTGCTTCTGATGTTGAGCAAGCCAAGACCTCAAATTCTTTCCTATGCCATTTGATAACATCTGGCTGCGTCTACTTCATCACACTCTTACGCAATCAATTGCAAGCTGACTGGTAATTGGATAATGCCTCAGCCTTATGGGGGTAAATGATCTGTGTGTGATAGGGATGGAAGCGTATTAACGGAAGCTGCACAGTTACACCCTTTGTAAAATGGTTTGATAATAGGCCAAATACTTAATAGCAACAAATAAACTAACCCCCAAACCAAATGAGCAGATCTATTTACTTAAGCCTACTTTACATACCAAGCGGGAAGAGATAAGCCTTAGAGCAGCTATTCCTAAAATGCACTGACTGAAGAAGGTAGGAAATATCTTTCATTGGTAGTTTTTGTAAAAAAAGATGAATCGTGGTTTAAACAGAAGACAAAGCCCTACCTAATCCCAGCTTAGGTACAAGGACTATGAAATTGCAACTCCTGAGAAAGCTAACCAGCCACTATCTGAATAAAAGGGTCTGACCAATCTGCAATTCTTATGCAAGAGGACCACAGAACATATCCCAAGGGACAGCGCAAGTAGCCCCAGAAGAATTTTACCTGGCATTTGGCAGCCCTGTTCCTTCTCCTCTTTAACCCCTCTCCAAACCTAGCAGGCAGATGAGTCTTCTTGCACAAGGCAGACTCCAAAGCCAAGGCAGCACAAGCAGCAGGTTGACTAGTCAAAGACTGCCTACACCACCGCCCCAGAAGTACTGCGGTGACTATACAAGCACCACAGGTAAAGATGCACTTACTCTTCTACTACGGGTCTGGGCCGACAGCAATAAGAACAGATTCTGTGGTATGTCTGCGTGGACAAGGATAGCGGGCAAAGACAGGAACGGCTATGGTGGAATGCAAAGTGCTGGGTGCGCTTCGGAGGAAACATGACGCTTTGGTTAGAAACGCAAGAGCTGCGTGGTATTGGAAGAGTTGAGGAAGCTCCACCTGGAAGCAGAGACACAGATTTTAGGGAGCGGTAGGCTGGACAAGAGCAGCATTGTCGGAACTTATGATGCAAGGAGTTGGGAGGGGATGAGAGGGAAGCAATAAACTGCGTGGATAGTTACCGTCAAAGAACGCAGGAAAGCCGGGGTCCCAAGGCTGGGGACAAATGAGACACAACAGATAAAAATGGGTATTCTCAAACTCAGGAGTAATAAGCACCTGATTTGAAGCGTTACGAAAGCCACGAATGCAAGTGAACAGAAAACCCCTCAGAGATAGAGTACCACATCAGAATGAACAGACTCACTGCAACAAGTCACCAAACCGGGAGCCAGAATGTAGATGGCTCTTCTCCAAGTATTACACGGGAAGAGGAGAATGAGAACAGGAATCTTGCTCTCCTATGCAGACACACACAAAAAGCTGTTTTCCACTGGTGCATCTTGCACAGTGGCCTATGGCAGCAGCTGTTTCTACCTGGCCAGGTAGAAGTTACCTTTTTTGCAACACTCACCGAACGGGTCACACATTTCTGGGGAATGCGTGATCCCAAACGTACAGTGTACGCAGTTCTTAAGTAACACGAGGAACCTTGGAGGGATTCCACCTTTCTGAAGTGTAACCTTCCCCAGAACATCCGCTGGGGCAGGGCAGCATACCATTTGCACAATCTAGCCCTAGGTTTTTTTCATCATTCCAAGTATATCTCATGTTGTGTAAGGAGCGTTGTATCACGCTCCTGTTACAAATGACAAGCAAAATAATGTGAAGAAAAGGCACAGCTGAATTGCTACTGAACCGTTTAACTACAAGCATAAAGTGATGACAAACTATGTTCAGCATAGAAATCAGAAGCTACGATTGAATTGTAAGCAGTGAATTTGGATGAAAGTTACCAGTTTATTTCCACTTAACACACACATTCGTATCTTTCATTCACAGCGCGTGAATTCTGGTCAGGCCCACAGTTGAGTAATCGCATGTGGGAGAACTGAGCTGTTTCTCGTTCCTGACCTGACATGAGAAAGAGATAGTGCAGTTAAGCCCTGAGGCAAAGGACATCTCACTTCAACAGGAAATGATGAGCTTTAGACAGGTTCCTATCTGTCTTCATCTCGAAAATAAGTAAGCAAGACTTAGGTCTTGAGGATGACAAAGAGGGAGGAAGGGAGGAGAAAAAAGGAAACAATCCTCTTGCAGTCCTCCCAAATGGTATGAGAGAAGGAGGATATCCTGAGCTGCGAAGGGACACAGAATTTTACCAAGTTTTTTACTAAGTTGGATTGTTCGGTTTGGGTTTTTTGAATTACTTTCTATTTCTATTTATAATACCCGTAACAAAAACCAGAGGTTGCTCAGAAGCAGAGTTCTGCTTGTTTCCTTGTTCTAGACTAGCCAAACTGCAAGTATTTCACTCTACGTTGCTTTAAGAATATAGGCTATGATCTTTCAGACCCCCTCCTCTATGCAATTACCATTCTCTTCCTCTTTACGCGACAACTGTAAAAGAAAAAAATGTAATAAAAATTCCACCATGAATAACCGATGTTACCAAAACTACCAGTTCATTTGGCAAGGTTGCCCTTAATTCTGACAGCGAGGGAACGATACCATTGTTTTATGAATGCAGCCTCCAGCTGATTTAAAGAAACCCTCCTGTCAAAATTCAAGTGACTCATGGTTTTTGAACTGCACAGAGAATGTTTTAATTTACATAATTATACCTGTATAAACTATGCACTGACTAGTTCCCAATCTTGAGTTCACTCTAAAGTCTCCCTAAGGGAAAGGTGTCACATGTGACGAGAAACAGTTTATGAGTCTGCAGATGTGAAGGGCAAGAACAAAGAGCCAAATCACTTGCCCTTCTTACAACAAGAATTCCTACTCACTGCAACACCCTCAGCAAACACGAGCACCAATTATTTGGTGAAACGTGAAATAGCTAGCAGTGCCACCAACACAGACACCAAAGGCTACTTTAGGTTTTAAACACTGTGATTGGAGTATTAACAACAACTAGGATTACCTGCAGCGACTATTACGATGTCAGCGAGTTGCGTATGGATCTTGAGCTGCTCTTTTGGTGTGTATCTGTGAGTAATGGTCACTGTAGCATCACCTGAAATATAAGAGATTATCAGTTAACAGCCACATGTAAAATGCACGTATACCATTTACTTTCTGGAGCAAATAACTTAGTTTGGTACGTTAAGAACAGTACAGACGACCATCAGATTTGTCTTGGGATGCATCATTTATATCAGCGTAGGCAGAACGCTCAAAACGCTTGCTGTTCACACACATGAAAAAGCATTGTTTCTTAAAAATTCTCACGGGATGAACTCATTTATACACTGTGGACTAACTTATTCCTTCATCAGCTTTATTACGTTTAGCAGAATTACACAGGGCAAACCCAGCATGGAATCCAGTATCTATCTTATTAAGGACAGTTTGTATCATGTGCCATAAGACTCTGTCACAACCTAAAGCTTCCAGTACGAGATCACCATGTTTGGACCTCTGTCCTCGACCACATCTGTCATTCATCTGTCCTAACACACCCTAGATGCTTCCCTTGACATTCTGTTGTATAAACAGGAGGGAAGACCAGCCGTGACTGTACCTGAGACCCAACTTCTTAATAGCCTTTCCCTCGAGTCAAAGTTTAGTCTTTGGCCCGTGTTTTTGGAAGATTTTCAGTGCTCAAGGAATAATTGGTAATTCAAGTTCAGTGAAGTGGCACCATTTCTTACTGATATTGCCTCTCTCAAGAATTAACGCAGCTGATAATCTGGCCAACAACAGATGACAACTGAGGCTCTTCTCTTTGTAGGGCCTGACTGCGTAGGGAAGGAGTCTAGTAGCTATGACAGCAGGGACTCTCCTGGGCCAAGGGTCTTTGCTTAGAAACCCTGTCAACCAATAACTAACTGCATGCAAGGATCACGCAGCAAAATCCCTCTCTTGACTGAACGCGACCAGATTTCATCAAGGAGAGGCGTTCTTGAACATACATGCGGAACACAATCAACATCAGCATCAGTATTTACAAAATTCCAACTGGACGGATCTGAGAAGGTTTATCACCATAACCAATCAAGGAATGCGTATATTTTTCCACACACACTCAAAGCATTCCACATCATCATTTTATGTAGCCCAAATGCAAGAACAGGAATGGACTGCACAAAAAGGCGCTCCGATTTTTGCGGATCTCCTATCATCTCTTGTATCTCCTGGTAAAACAAAACCAGCTGAACACTTACTTCACACCAGAGTAGGAAGTGTTTGAAGTTATCGCAAAGAGAAGCACACATGCTTTTGGGCAAACTCAAAAGGTCTGTGGCCTGCTCCTGCATGTATCTACATTTCCTGGCAAGAAGCTACAAATAAACCCTCCTACTAAGACTTGAAAAACTTTGTGCTGTTCCACGGAGATACTGAGGAAGGACCACTACACACAAAAGGAATTGTCATGGGGACAGGAACTGAAGTCTCACACTGCGTCCAAAAGCAAGTGTGGTGGTGCCTCAAGAACTGCAAAAGAAAATAGCGAAGATAACCGCTATCAAAGGAGATTCCTCGCAACACTCTCCCCGTCAACTATTTGTGCTGCACAGTCTTCGGGTGTTACATCCCCCCATCTCCACCTTCCACTCATCAGAGACTCCCTAAGCCACATTACTAACCATTAAACTAAAAGTTTTTGCCATCTCAGATGTTATCACCACATCTGTTTCCTCTGGAATGTGTCTGACTGATAATCTGTGGCTCTCATCTCATTAACTCTCTTCCTCAAGCATCTCATTTTCAACCTGTCTGTGCTCTGACTTCTCGGCTCTTCCCCCTCATCTTTGATCCCTCTTCTCCTTCAGTCTACATAGCGCATACTGTCTCCTCAAAGAGCAGGAGATCAAGACATTTTCAGATAGCGAGTACAGAAGAGTACCGATGCGCATAAGCAATTCCACAAAATAAGGGGAATTGCCAGAAGTTGAAGTCTCTCATCAACTTTCTATAACGTCTCATGAATTTAAGCGCATAAAGAGCTTCGACAACTAATTATCTTAAAAACATCTCTGCAGTAACCCTTCTTGTGATAGCAACATCCCAGCCAGAACATTAAAGCCTGCATGTCAAGATTCCTCCAGCTTTCTTCCTTGAATACCTTTGGGATAATGCAACAACAACCCATACAGACAAAACAATTGGAACAGGACCGAAATATTACTCATGGATACTCCCCATTTTGGTAGTCTAAAGCAGCATGTCTCTCGCTGCCGATTCATTTGTATGCAGGCCATGCACATTCTCTTTTGAGTGAGCAGCATACAGGCTGTAGAGAGGGTCAGAGTTTTCCTTCTTCGGATGCCTTATTCTCCAAACATATTAACAGGAAATCGCTTCGCCCCCTGCAGAACAACCTTGCCTGCTCTTTGATGTGACACACTTTCCTTTTCCTGGCTAATGCTCTATCACTCACACTAAAACTTAGGGTTTCTCTGAAGGGCCATCCTTCACTCCAGAAAGGCAAATCGACTTATCCGTGGATTATGGAAAGAAAGGCTTGAATAAACTAATACCCATTTTAAGCAAAACAAGGAGCCCAAAATCACAATCATTACTTCTGGAGGAAAATAAATAAATATATATATATATAAAAAATTATATTCTTTTAACCCACTGTACTCGGCAGAGAGGCTGAGAAAAACCGATGGATAAAATCCCAAGTTACAAATATTCACACCTTCTGAGAAAAAAAAAATCAGTGCAATTTTCCCTTCAAGGTTTTAGTGCAGAAAGTGTCTGTAATCAGCTCCTGAAACCAAGCAATTGCTCTCACTGCCAAAAACAAAAGGAGAAAAAGGAAGAAAAAAAAGCCCCTACCTTCAGAATAGCAGTCCAAAAGCTTACAGACACCTCAGAAAGGGTAGGTTTCCCATTTATTTGGTATCATGCCAAAACAGAAAATTAACAACTACTTTTACACTGCTACTTCTGCTGAAAAAAGAGGAATATATTTAGCAATTAAGGTTCCACATGGTATTCCTGAATGCATTCACTAGCTTATAAAATAGTCTCTTCCCGCCAACACAAAACACCATTTGTTTTGCAAGGGTTCAGATAGTTTTCCCATCTGATCAGATATTGCCACCTGCAGGACATTATGGTTCCTACATACAAAACCTCACAGATGAAGACTGACCCCAGCTTTTCAGTCTTGTTCCTAATCCATAAAAAACCCAACTAAAACCTACAACAAAAACGAAGAAAAAAAATAGAATCACACATGCACCTTGCATCACTTCTCAATAAAAACTGTTTAATCAAATCAGCCCAATCGCTGATAAAACTCCTATCCTGACCGATAACCTGATAGAGTTCTTTTTCAGCACTTAACTCTAGGTCTTGACTGGTCCCCACCCCCCTGAAATAAAAAAAAAAAAAAAAAAAAAA